CACGTTGTAGCCCCATTTTAAGTATTCCAATCAGTTATAGGCAGAAGACAGACTTACAAGCTTTCTATGGTGATGCTTTTCGCTATTCCTTTCTCTCCCCCTCCAGTGTCTATTTTTATAATATAATGAAAGGAAAACCAAGATTCAAAAGACAGCCAAGCATCTTAACATTATTACCCCCTTTTCCCCAGCTCTATTCTCTTTTAACTATTGCGTTCTTTTCTGTGTCTTCCACTACCTGCATCTTTTCTCTGCTAACCTCTCTGTTGTTGTATATTGCATACCCTATCATCCGTGTCATCATGTGTCTACCCTCTAGCCCATGAATAACCATCTCTCCCTTCCCACTCTGTATCCATCATAGATTGTTTCTTTTAACAAGAATACCTTTGTTTCATACAATGTTTATCGTTTTGTGATTGACTAATTTTACTCAGCATAACGTCCTTCAGGTTCAACCATATTGGTGAGGTGTTTCACAGATTCATTGTTTTTCTTTGTTTTATAGTATTCCTTCGTTTCATAGTATTCCATTGATGTGGCACTGTAGGATCAGCACTGGACTGCAAACCATGAGATTGGCAGTTCAAATCCACCAGCTGCTCCTTGGAAACACTATACAGGGTTGCTATGAATCAGAATCTACTCAACAGTACTTAACAAAAATTAACCATTCTGTTGTTGAACATTTAGATTGTCCCCTTCTTTTTGATATGCCTGGTAGACATCATATGGAAGGATCGTATTTTCTTATCCTTTCTGCTCTTTATGTCTCTTGACTGGTACATTTAATCCATTTACCTTCAGTGCAATTATCAATAAGTATGAATTAATTGTCATTTTTCTGTGTTATTTTTATGGAATTGCTGAGTTTATTTTGTTTGTATGTTTCCACTTTCATTTCTGTTGTGTTAATGTTTACTAAAACTTTCTGATTTTCCTCTTTTTTTTATTTTGATGTGCAGGTGTATTATTTTTCTTTGAGGTTACACTGCAATTTATTAATTTTTCCCTGTTTTAAATAGTTTGTTTTATCCTGAAATATACTTGACCTTCCTTGCCATTTGAAAGTTCTGTATGTACATTTTTTCATTTTGCTTGTAGTTAACTTCATTATACACTGATATCTCTGGATTCCTATTTTCAGTCTTGCAGGTTTGTTTTATTTGAATACTTGCATATCTGGCCTGAGTTTCAGGTGATGGTGTTATGTATGGTTGTTGTCTGCTGTTGTTGAGTCTCAGTCCAAAGAACACTCTGTAGCATTTTTTGTAAAGTTCATCTGGCCATTACAAATTCCTTTAATTTTTGTTTATCAGGAACTGTCTAAATTTTGCCATCATGTTTTAAGAACAGCTTTACTAGGTATATAAATCTTGGTTCACAATCTTTTTCTTTCAGAGTTTTGTATATGTCATTCTATTGCTTTCTTTTCTTTTTTTCCATTGCTTTCTTGCTTGCATGGTTTCTGCTGAGAAATCAGAGCTTAGTCTTACTGGTTGTCCTTTGTATGTAGCTACTCGTTTTTCTGGAGTCCTGGTGTGGCATTGTGGGTTAATACACTGGACTGCAAAGTTGCTTAAACCGCAAGGTCATGCATTCAAGCTCACCAGCTGCTCCTCGGAAACCCTATACAGAGTGGCTATGGGTCAGAACCGACTCTACAGTACTTAACAAACAGCAACTCAGTTTTCCAGAATTGCGCTCAGGATTCTTTCCTTGTCTTTGATTTTAGAAAGTTTGATTATGATATGTCTTGGTGATTTTCTTTTGGGCTCTATCCTATTTTGAGTTTTTTCAACTTCTTGTATGCTTATCTTAATCAACTTTCATGATGTTAGGGACGTTTTCTTCCAGCAACTCTTCAACAATTTTCTCTGTGCTTCTCTCTTCTTGTTCTGCAATTCCAATCATCCATAAGTTGTTCCTCTTCATGGTGGCCCACATACCTCTTAGGCTCCCGTAAAGATTTATAGCCTCAGAAACCCTGTACAGGGTCGCTGTGAGTCTGAACCGACTCTACGGTACTTAACAACAACAACAGTTATTACCAGTCAGCCTAATTGAAATAGACTGTTCTCCCAGTGTGATTTCCTAGTCTTCTTTGTCCTTTTGAGAGGAACATTTTCTGAGCTCCTTGTAGTGTCAGAGAGTCAGTTAATCATTTTAGCTCACCTCTTAAACAGGTTGGGAGGATTGTGTGACCATTTGATCCAAGCAGATTAATCAAAATGTTTCTTGGCAGTAGTTTTGGAGTGATAAATTCTTTTTCCTTTGAAGATGCTGGACTGGGGCAGGTGAGAACCTGGCATAGACATCTTGCCTGCCATGTAGTCAGCTGCTAGAAGAATAAAAAACAAAAGAGGAAAAGAGAGTCAGCCCTCACATCCTAACACTACTTCCCGAATGACTGGACGTCTGTTGCTCTTAGATATGGTGGAGTTGGCTCTGATTCATAGCGACCCTATGCACAACAGAATGAAACACTGTTTAAACTCATTCTTGCAGGCTTTGTGTTAATCCATCTCATTGGGGGGTGGGGGGGGGTCGTCTTCTTTTTTGCTGAACCTCTACTAAGCATGATGTTCTTTTTCAGGGACTGATAACATGTCCTAAGTAGTAAGACAAAGTCTGATCCTCCTTGCTTCTAAGGAGCATTCTGGCTCTACTTCTTCTAATATAGATTTTTTTAAAGTGATTGTGAATTATGTGATAGTTTTCATGGGAGAATATTAGCTTTACATTCATTCTAAAGTGATTGTGAATTATGTGATAGTTTTCATGGGAGAATATTAGCTTTACATTCATTCTATCATATATCGTTTCATTGACATGGTTACAATCCCCTCCATGTATCATCAACCAACCAAAGGGTACACCCTGCAAGCCTGTTCCCTGGTTGTCAGCACCCTTTCTCTCTCTGGATCTAAAGTCCCCAGCCGCTTCATCTCTCCATGTCATAGTCTCTGCCTCCTTCTCTGGCATCAGTGCTGGGTAAGGTCCCGCTCTCCGCTCTTCTCCCTTGTTGGTCCCAGGGACCTCCGCTCCTAGACTGCAAAGTCAATCACTCCCATCCTGTTGCTACAAAACGTCTACCTTTACATTTCCAACCCTCACAGTCAGTCCTGATAACAATTATTCACCATTGTATCACAAGAGACCCATCCCCATCTCCTGTGGTAGCAGCCTTTTAATAGCACTTTTCATTCGGTTCTCATGTTATCTCATTAGATCAGCATTTTTTTGTCCCTCACGTTGAAAACATAAAATAAGCACATCTTTCCTCAGTGACTTGAAGTATTAATTGTGAGTGACCTAAACAGGAGTTAAATCATGCATGAATCTCAAAATCATGTTGCTATGTGAAAGCAACCAGAAAAAAAGGAGTGTGTAGTATATGCTCCATTTTAAAATTCTAGATAAGGCAACCTAATTTATAATGACAGTACATCAGTGGTTGTTTGGGGACATGGGTGAATGGTGGGATAGGAGGAAAACTTTGGGTCTGATCGATATCTTAATGGTGCTGATAGTTCCACAGGGGTACATGTAAGTCAGAACATTCAGTGCAGTTTAAATATTTATAGTTTATCTGTTATAGCTCAGTAAAATTAATTTATATTTTAAAAGTCAATCAGTGGCTTTTTGTTTGAAAAAGTGAATAGGTCACTTTGTCAAACTCCCTCACTCCCATTTGGCATTTGTGATAATACTGGCAATGGTTGGACTGGTATCTCATTTTGTATAGTGACGTATACAGAATAATGGGACTGGAACATAAACCATAGTTTGCCTCCACTATGTTGTCTCCCAGCACTGAATTGATTATCTGAAATATTTTAGATAATTTAAATAGAAATATTTAAATATTGTAGGCTTATCAATCTGAAATATTCATCACCTTAAGAAAAGGACTTGTCATGATTGCATGTTTTGTTTCCTTCAGACCACCTTTTGGGTGCGCGATCTACAGTGAAACTTACTGGTGACTAAAAATTGCCAGGAATTCAATATATTTTTGAGTTTGTATTATGTAGAGCAAGATTAAAATATTTTCCCATGGTTTCTACACAGCTTTCTGAAACAAAGGTCTTCACTGCTTCATCTGTTCCAGCAGAGAATCATGTCACACCGGGGCAAAGGTAGACAATTTTTGCCGACTTTTTTTTGTTAGTCAAGCCAAAATTGAAATTTTTGCCTGAGGAAAAGTGTTTTGGTCCTTGCGTTTCTTTCTATTTTTTCCCTTTTCCATCTAAGACTAACTTTTATTTTACCCCTAGCCTAGCTGGTCAACTGACAAAGGTTTAGTCATTTCCAGTGTGGTTATATTCATGGATAAATAGCTAATTCACAGGTAAGTCGAAAAGTATTGATACTAAGGTTCCAGTTCATTCATGCACTGGTTTATTTCAAACATTTTCTGAAATCAGTAGATGACTATATACAAGTTCTCTCAGTAATAGATTTGTCTTAATCTCATTAGGATTCTTTACAAGAAGAAAAAAGGCTCATTTAAAGCTGTGACCTTCGATTTTGGTCTGCTTGGCAGAGAGGTCAGCTCAGAAGGTTTTGGCAACTGTTTTTGGAATTCAAAAGCAGTCATCTTTTTAATTTTTGTTGAGGACAGAGGATGATCACTGGGGCTTGTTAAAGGTGTTTTAAGAAAATTGAAATTTGCATTTGTGAGGAAAAGGCCATGAAAGTTGTGTCCAGGAATTTTTTCCAAGGAATAGTGACAATGCACCTGCTCACACTTGCAGAGTATCAGGGCTGTCCTATGAGCATGAGAATTTCCTTGGGAAACCTTATGTCATCCACACTATAGCCATGGTCTTGCCCATTCACACTTCTTTTTGTTCCCAAAACTCTTAAGAACATTAAAAGGAGACATGATTTGAGTCCTTCAGGAATGCCAAAACTGAGGTTTTCACATGATGTAACTCAAGGAGTGTACAATTCTTTGGGGAAAAGTTGGAGAGGTGGTAATACCACCTACAGAAGTATATAGAACCAGATAGAGAATAAGACAAGAAATAATCGCTTCATTTTGATGTTTTTGTGTAATAAAGCTATCTGATTTTGTAGCAATATTTTTTGGCTTACCTTCATATGTGTGATTTGTTAGCAATTGTGACAAACTGTTAAAGCCTATTTAGTGGTGGATCTTGTCACTTTTTAAAACCTATTGCTTTTAACAGAATGAACTTAATATAGAGTACCCTTTGGTTCCTTGGTATAGTACTTTTGATTTAGATTTCAGGCTGTTTATTACAAGCTTCTCGTGCTAGTTGTAATATACTAAGGTTTTGGATTGCAACTCAATGTAAAGAAAACAAAAATCCTCACCACTGGTCCGAAAAACAGCATTCTTATCAACAGAGAAAAGATTGAAGTTGTTAAGGACTTCATTCTTCTTGGATCAACTGTCAACATTCATGGAACCAACAGTCAAGAAATCAAATGACATATTGCATTAGGCAAATCTGCTGCACAAGATCTTTTTTTTAAGTGTTGAAAAGCAAAGATGTCTGCTTGAGAACTAAGGTGCACCTGATCCAAGCCATGGTATTTTTAATAACCTCATATGCATGTGAAAGCTGGACAGTGAATAAGGAAAACTGTAGAATTGATACTTTTGAGTTATGGTGTTTGATGAGAATATTGAAAGTGCCATGGGCTGCCAAAAGAACCAATAGATCCATGTTGGAAGAAGTATAGCCAGAGTTCTCCTTGGAGGTCAGGATGGCCAAACTTCGTCTCTTTCACTTTTGGACATATTTTCAGTAGGGACCAGTCACTGGAGAAGGATATCATGTTTGGTAAGGTGGAGGGTCAGAGAAAAAGAGGAAGATCCCCAGCGAGATGGATTGGCAAAGTGGCAGCATCAATGAGCTCAAGCGTGGAAACAATTGTGAGGTTGGCCCCGGACCGGGCAGAGTTTTGTTTTTTTGTATATAGGGTCGCTATGAGGTGGTACCGACTCGATGACACCTAACAACAACAACAACAACAACAACAAACTTTTGGATGATAGAAAAGGAAAGAGTTTAATAATATGTTCAGATCTGAATTATTAAAGAACATTGATGTACAGTTTTGTGATGCAGCAGCTATGAAAATCTTTGATTATGGTTTCAAAATATAATGATGTAGAAGATGTATGTTTTGATCCATATGACACCTTAGAAACCAAAGCATTTTGAACCTAACATATTGAAACTCATGATATAAATGAGGTGGATATATAAGGGGACAAGTGTTAAAGGAGCTCCCTTGAAATATATTACTTTTAAATTGCTCATACTTTCCTATCAGTTACATATGTATATATACACTGGATTGCAAGGCCAGTTTGTGCCTCAAAGTTGATGGTTCAGTCTCACCAGCTGCTCATCAGAAATCCTCTCAGGGTTGCTGTGAGTCAGAATGGACTCCACGGCTCTTAACAACAATAACTGTAAAAAATGTGTGTGTGTGTATATGAATAAGGTGCTTCCGAAAGTTTATGGGGGAAATTCCTTTAGTTTATGGGGAAATTCTATTAATGAATTTGATAGGATAATTTCCTTTTAAAAAAGATGCTAGTTGAACTTTTTTGTAGTGTGTAGTTTTTTGATTTTCAGAAGATAGTAGTCTATTATATCTTAGCAAGCTTTTGGAAACTTACCATGATTTTTTGTGATGGGTCATAAATAAAAAGCTACCTTAGATTTATATCTGTAGGGGTAGCTGTTAGTAAGCTGGACTGTTACTTTGGGATCTAAAATACTGTTCTGGGACTTAGTCTTTTTATGGGATCATGAGAGTTGCAGTGTATACATACAGAGAGAAACTCACAGCTAGGAATTTTGTTCTCTTTTGGAGTGAATCTTGAATGATTTGACCTCCCAGGATCTGCTTGTCTCACTGGTATGGAGAGGGAATTGGCCTTTTAAAGGGTTTATTAATGGAGTGAATTACCACGGCAGATAACATGTGCATCTTGCCGATCCTATACTAGGTAAGAGTGGAGAAAAATTACAGGAAGTTGGGAGCTCACCTTATGTCAAGTAGTCTTTATCATTTCTCCTTCTTGCCTTCAGATGTTTGTCTGTGCTTCTCAAATTTCTGGGAACATTACGAGAGTTCTAGTTAGCATAGTATTTTTTATTTACTGGGCATTTTCCCGTGAATATTTAGTAAGAAATATGAGACTTAGGTAAACTTTAATTTATTATGGAATAGAATGCAAGACTTACAGGAATATTTAAGGTAAATATGAGAGTGGTCTGCTCTGGTCAAAGCCCTCATTCTCCAAGAATATGCATTCCCTCTCCATTGGGAATGTTTAAGAAACTCTGCGTCCAAGTAATAAATGGATGAACTGTGTTCAAAGAATTGAACCACGCTTCAGAATATTATTTAAATTTACTTAATCGCGGCAGGTTTTCAAGTCAGTCATCCTTAATGCTATTTCTGTGGCAATTTCTCAGTACTCTGTTTGGTTTCTGTTTCTGCAAAGCCCTGCTTCAGTTTCTGTGGCTTTGTGTGCTTTGATGCTCTCCTTTTGGCTCCTTCACACTCCAGTACCCCAAGGCTCTCCTTCCTTAGATAACTTTTAGCATGAATTAGTTTGTATTGATTTTTTAGTAATATTTGCTTATGACTAGTTCCTCATTTGCTTTTTGTCTGCTTAGCATTGATCTAGTAGCCTTGCTCCAGAAGCCTGTTCCTGCCAGTCAAGTGTCAGAAGTCAACTCCTTTGAATCTTCCCAAAAGCAGGGCTTCGGCCAAGCTCTGGTCTTCACAAATTCTCAACACAACAATCAGATGGCACCAGGGACTGACAACTCCACTGCTGTCAACTCCTATTCTCCTCAGAGTCTGGTAATTCACTTTTATTTCAGTATGGGATTTTAAGGAATGTAATAAATGCATTCTAGAGTATGACACGTAAATATAGTTTTACGATTATTTTCTAAACACAAAAATGGCTGAAGTAAATCTCAATCCAGAAAACAATGATGTGGTCATTCCCAAGCACATATCTGATAATTCCATGTGGAATTCAATTGCTCTGAGTTTCTGGACAAATCATAAAATATTTTTTATAGTTAGTAGAATTCTTCTCAATCATGGTCACTCAGTAAGATTGAAGTCATCCTTATTAATGAATGATTCTTTCTCTTGTTTGTTTGGTTTTCAGTATCTGTTACTAGTCTAAGATACTAAATTTTTTTTATTCTTCAATTTCCCTAAATTCAAGTATTTGTCAGTAGGTGGTTGTGGTTGTTTATTGCCATCGAGTTGGTTCCATCTCAGCGATCTTGTATAGGGTTTCCTAGGAGTGACTGATTCAAATGGACCTTGTGGTGCAAAGGGACCTTATGGTCCCCAGTGCATTTTCCTGCAGCACCCCACTGGGACCCAAAACATGCAAAATTATTTCTTTTTAAGTCTGCCAAGGTGCTTATGTGTTTTGTATTTTAATATCTTTGTTATTCCATAAAATAAAGGTACTTTTTATTTTATTTTAAATGCAGTTTTGTGGCTGAGGCCCATCTAGCTTGAGAGTGTTTTCCTGGAAGCAGTGCCATCAGTGCTGTGTGCCTGATTAACTGCCCATGAGAGTTAAGCTTCCATCAAAAAGGATTTCAGGAATTAGTGGTGAAGGATGGGAGTACACACTGAACATAGCATGAGGAAGACTATGGCTGCAGAGCAGAGTAGTGGGAAGTGCTAAGCTGTAGTGGGAGGTTGGATGCACTGTGACCACACAAACCTACAGCTTTCCCTAGTGAATTGTTTGGTTTAGACTTCGATGCACTCTATCTTGAAATCTCCTGTTGAAAAACGCTGTTTTATGAATATGTAATTTTCTTTCTCCCATGCCTGACTCAAATACATTATTACCTATGAACGAATAAAATGGAGAATTCAGTATGTAACCTTTTCTGCTGTTTGTCTTCTACTCTGTGTAGTCACTTCACATTGGCATTTTTATGGGAATCTGGCTTTTTAGTGTCATTGTTCATTGTGGATCAGATGGTGGTGTCAGTGCTTGAAATGGGATGGGCCAAGGCGTGATGCCATTTGTTTTGAGAAGGTCCAATTTAAAGTAACATTTTCATATAATGTTTTCTTAGGTGATTACTACTAATTACGATATTTAGATTCATAGTTTAAAAATACCTGTAGCAGTAAGTAATTGGTGTGTTTTCAAGCCTGGGGTAGAAATTCTATATTGCTGAGAGTTTCTGTTTTTGTTCTCTCTAAAGCCTTCTGTCCTTGGTTCTGGATTTGGAGAGCTTGCACCTTCAAAAATGGCCAGCATCACGAGCTCCCAGATTTTGGAGCAGTTGAAAGCTCCAAGCTTGGGCCAGTTCACTACCCAGAGTTCACAGCAGAATAGCACGAGTCCTCCAACAACCACTTCTTCTTGGGAACTCAAGTCTACAGCATCCCAAGCATCAGTCCTTAGTCATTTTGGTAAGTATGTATTTTTTATTCCTGCTGCCCCAATTGAGGACATATTAAACATTAGCAGAGCTTATTGACTTGATAATGCTAAGGTTGAATTTGTCTAGAGCTTTTATATATTGTTGCTGTTGTTCAGTGCCATCTAGTTGGTTGTGTCTCACAGTGACCCTTCGTTTTAGGGTTTCTGAGGAACAGCCGTGGGTTTGAACTGTCGACCTTGCAGTTAGCAGATCAGTGTTGATCCTACAGCGCCACACGAGGAGTCCCGTTTTCTATCTATACATGTATATATATAGATATAAAGCAGAAAGCTCCACTGGTGCCATCCCACCATTAGAGTTTTCTGCTTTATATCTATGGTGGTGGCTGTGTGCCGTGGAGTTGGTCCCGACTCATAGTGACCCTTCATAGGGTTTCTGAGGCTGTAAATCTTTATAGGAGCAGAAAGCCTCACCTTTTTCCCTCAGAATGGCTTGTAGTTTTGAACTGCTGACCTTGAGATTAGCAGTTCGACACATAACCATTATGCTACCAGAGCTCCTGCTTTATTTATTTATTTATATACACACACACACATATATACTTATACACACATGTATATATGTATTGTTGGCACTCTCTATGATTAGACCAGATCAAAATTCCATGTTCGTGAGAGAGAGTAGGCATTTAGTTATATGTCCCATTGTTTCTTATCAGTTGTTGTTGTTATTGCCTTGGAGTCAATTCCAACTCATAGCGACCCTGTTTACGGTTTCTAAGAAATGGCCAACGAGCTTGAACTGCTAACCTTGTGGTTCAAACTGCCCTTGCAGTCTAGCACATTAACCCGCAGTGCCACACGGGACTCCACATTACTATTGTTAAGTCCCGTCAAGTTGATTCCTACCCATAGCAACCCTGTAGAGGGTTTCCAAGGAGCAGCTGGTGATCTTGAACCGCCGACCTCACAGTTCAAATGGCTTTGCAGTCTTGCGCGTTAACCCACAGTGCCACATCAGGACTCTGATAAGCCTCAATAACCTTCCCAAAGTCCAAGGTCCCAGACACCAGCCAAGGCCAACCTTACAAGCAAACGTTTCTAGAAAGGAGAGAAGTCTTAGCTCTATGTTTATTGTTTTTGCAGATTTAGTAAGGAATGGTACACGATTTTAGATTTTAACATTTCTATTTTCATATTCTTTACAATGGCTGTCTTTTTGGTACATGCCTCTGGTACCAAGTTCAAAAATTGATTCATTTAAGATGGAAGTATATTAAATCATGAATTGACAAACCACAGATCTATGAGACCAGTCAGTATACAACCTATTTTAATAAATGATGTTTTATGGGAACATAGCCACAATCATTCCTTTATATGTTGTCCCTGACTATTTTCACACTACAGTTACAGAAGCCTTCAAATCCTTAAGTGTTTACTGTCTGTTCCTTTACAGAAAACCTTACTGACTTCACTATATGATAAAGGTGTCATTTCAAATCATTCATAAAAACATGATTTATTCAATAAGTTGATGATTATAATTGGGTATTTATTTACAAAATGAGGTTGTATCACACCCTCAGTCAAAGTACTAAATGAAACAAATATTTAAATATAATGAATTAATAACAGAAGTATAAAAAAGAGCATAGAAATACATTTTGTATAATTTTTCTAAGGTGGATATTTTTAGGTGTGACAGAAAACAACATCACCAAATATAACAAGTCAGGTAAACTGTGAAGAATATTTGGAAACATTATAGACAATGGCTTAATTTCCCAATATAAAAAGCTACTAAAAATCAATTGTCAGAGGTATGGACACAGTTCATAGAAAAATACTACTAAAGAATATGAAATGATGTTACTGCACTTAAATCATTTTAATTTGTGTTCATTTTCTATTATGTTTCACCAACCAGACTGGGAGAGATTAAGTTAAATTTGAGAGTGTGTTAAAAGGCTGTGTATGTGGAGAAGATTGCAATCATTACAATCATTACAATGGAACAATAAGTGTAAAACCGATGTTCTCTCATGTAAACTATCACTCAGTTCACAATAAAAAAAGGCTGCGGTGGTACAAGCTTTGAAAGTTTGTATGGAAAGCAGTTTTGGAGTGTTTGTAAACTAGTAAGTCTACCGTAGGAACTAATCTTACAGGTGCACTTGTACTTGAGCAAAATGCTGTGTATATAAAACCATGAAACCTGCAGGAGCGGGATCTTGGTGGAACTGCCTTATTATTTGGAGTCTCATAGGATGCAATCTTGGACCGAGTGTACTCTTACCACTTTCTATGGCTCCTACTAGTAGAAAATATTTGAGCTTCCATTCTCTGACAGTTTCTGGATTTTGCAGATTTTACTACATTTTCATTTCATGGTTTTAATACTGAAGATTAGGAAATCATAAAGTCCATTAATATGGTGGTGATAGTTGTTAAGTGCCATCGAGTTGGTTCAGACTCATTTGTTGTTAGGTGCCATTGAGTTGGTACCGACCCGTAGTGATCTTATGCACAGCAGAACGAAACACTGTCCGATCCTGGGCCAACCTCACTACTGTT